CGTCTGGGGGGGGGGAGGGTAGGAAAAAACAAGGGGAAATAGGCTACCTTGCATAATGACTTAGCCACTCCCAGTCTCTATTTAAGCCTAAATTAATAGTATCCAATTAACTTGGATTTAAACTTGGAGAGTGGTCAGTTTGGATGAGCTATTGCCAGCAGGAGAGTGAGTTTTGTGTGTGTGTGTGTGTCCCTGGGGAAAAAAAAAAAGGGGGGGGTGAGAAAGCCTGGATTTGTGCTGGTCATGGCCCACCTTGATTACCATGCACATTGTAGGGAGAGTGGTCACTTTGGATGAGCTATTACCCGCAGGAGAGTGAGTTTGGGTGTGTATGGGGGTGGGGGGGGGAGAAAACCTAAATTTGGGTTGGAAATGGCCCCCTTTTTATCATTACATTTTGGGGGGAAAAGGGTTGGGCCAGAACTAACCAATTTATTTGAGGAGGAGCTTTCTCTTTTTGGGTGTTTTCCGGAGTGAGGGGGGTGGGAGGGGGTGAGGGAACCTGGATTTGTGCAGGAAATGGCCCAACTTGATTATCATGCACATTGTGTAGAGAGTTGTCACTTTGGATGGGCTATTACCAGCAGGAGAGTGAATTTGTGTGGGGGGGTGGAGGGTGAGAAAACCTGGATTTGTGCTGGAAATGGCCCAACTTGATGATCACTTTAGATAAGCTATTACCAGCAGGACAGTGGGGTGGGAGGAGGTATTGTTCTCATGATCTCTGTGTATATATAAAGTCTGCTGCAGTTTCCACGGTATGCATCCGATGAAGTGAGCTGTAGCTCACGAAAGCTCATGCTCAAATAAATTGGTTAGTCTCTAAGGTGCCACAAGTCCTCCTTTTCTTTTTGCGAATACAGACTAACACGGCTGTTACTCTGAAACCTATTCAAACCCAAGTTGATGAAGTGAGCTGTAGCTCACGAAAGCTGATGCTCAAATAAATTGGTTAGTCTCTAAGGTGCCACAAGTCCTCCTTTTCTAGTTTGAATATTAATTCAAGCTCAGCAGTTTCTCCTTGGAGTCTGTTTTTGAAGCTTTTCTGTTGCAGAATTGCCACCCTTAAAACTATTATTGAGAGACTCGCAGGGAGGGATCCACGAAAGGACTTAGGCTCACAGCACTGAGCGTCACAGCAACTAACCTCGGGGTGCCCAGAAAATCACAGGAAGAGCACTGCAACCCACACAGCAGAGTTAGGCACTTAGGCTCCCTGGACAATGAATGGGGAGAGAAAAGCGCTTTAGAATGTGATCCACAAAGCAGCGTACTAGACAGGGAATCTCCTGAGCTAACCAATGGGAGGTGTGTGTGTGTGTGCACACATGCATGCACACCCATGTACAAGCCAAGCTTTGCCCCTCTCTTTCGGAGACTAGGCTGCAGGGAGGCCCCAGACTCTGCTTCGCGATCAACGAACGGGAGCCTGCCCTCCATGGTGTTTCTTGCAAGACTGAATTAGGCCCTCAAAACAAAATGGTCAGAAAAGGAGGTGGTGTCGATGCACAACCGAGCAGCTTTGCAAGATCAGGACCTTCTCCCCTGCAAACCTGAGCTGCAAAATCCTGCAAATCCTTGCACACTTACTCAACTACCCTGAGCCGTCCCACCAGAGAAGGCAGTGAAGTTAAGCACGTCTGTGTGTGCAGGATTGGGGCCTTACTGACGTCTTTGCTGCTTCTGGCTGTTTTTTGGTAGTGATTTTTTTTAAGGCACACTCCTCTTGCTCCTCCTTGGAGCTGCTGCCCTCCATAGGTCTTCCCTATAAGTTCTTAAAAACATGGCTGTATTTCCTTAGAGGGGCTGAATGGATTGAGAACTTGCCATTAGTATTCATTAATTATTATTATGTATATGACAGTGATGCCTAAAAACCCCAGCCAATCTCAGGGCTCCCTTATGCTGGGCACAGTACACACACAGAGTAAGAGACAGCTCTGGCCCTAAAGAATTTGCAATCTACATAAACAAGGCAGACAAAGAGTGGAAAGGGAAACTTGAGGCACGGAGCAGGGAAGCGATTTGACCGCAGTCACCTGGGACCAGGCACAGAACCCAGTTCTCAAACGCTAATGCAGGGCCTTGTTCACTGGACCATGCTACCTCTCAGCATTCCCGAGGGCTGGACTACCTTGAAACTGTCTGTGTACTAGAGGTTTAGGCCCCAATAGTGAGTTCTACGGAGAAGTTTCCCTTACTGAAGTCCTTGCAGGCTCAGGGCTTATATCCCATTATCTAAATATGCTGGATGAGGCTTTACCCCCAGTTAGTTCCTGTTTTATGCAGAGAAGGGGCATATTGACAAACATTTTCAAGTTAATTTCCGGGAGCATCCTGAAATCCAGCTCCAATCACACTACCCTCCCGTTAACCCCCCACTAGTACCCTCATTCAGTCTCTCCCCTCAATGCCTTGTACTCCCTGGTGTTAGTAGATATTAAACCTCTATCATTCTCTTAGACCTATACTAACCACAACCTTTGTATGCAAACCAAAGAGTATTCTGCCTTCTAACCCAAAGCATTTTGTCCTTTCTCTGAACTAGGGTGTACGTCCAAACACTGAAGTATATAGGATCAACAATGAAATCTCTTACCCTGACCCCACTGACCCATAGAGAATACGTCCAGATGTTCAGGCACAGACCCCTGGCAACTAACAAACGATGCCTGTTACCACAGATGTGTGTTGTGATGAACAAGAAGGTATGATTGATGAGGGGTACTTATGATCTAAATATGTTCAGTTATTGTAAGGGTTATGTTTATTGCATGTTATCTGTGATTTAGGAAATGACCCAGTGAAAGGTGTTCTTAGCTCATTGGGAACGACTTGTTGCCACAGATGTTCTTAGCAATAACAACTGGGTTAGAAATCCCTTTAGTTGATCACTCGTGTAATCTGAGATACCATAAAAGAAGTTCCATAAGGAATTAGGTAAATTGAGATATCCAAAACAGACCACAGAGTGGAATCAATTGTGAGAAAGTAGCTTCTCTTCCTCACAAAGGAATTTCTTTGTCCCACACACTATAGAAGGGAAGAGTTTGGGGAAGTTAAGCTGGAGGTGGACAAGCAGCTATCACTCCCCTCATGCAGAGGGGCTGGTAAAGGGTGCTGTTCTTTCTGTACTCTGCTGGATCCATAGCTGACTAGTAATCTCTGATTAAATAATTCTAGCTGACATCACACATTATTATGAATCAGAACACGTACCGGTAGAACACACAGCAAGGCAAGAAGACTTGCAGTCCCCACAGCTGGGACCTGGAGAGGCTTTAATAAGCTTGGCAGCATTCATGGAAGCAGGGCTGCAATTACACTCAGAGACATAGACTGCTCTTTGCTGGGTGTTGCAGCAAAACAGAACCAAACCATGCAGGCTTGCCTCCCATCCCTGCTGCCCCAAGTCCTGAGGGGGCTTTAACCCCACCCTTAGGAGGCCAGGATAACCCCCTGCTCCTTACCTTTCCATTACTGACCTACCTCCACCTAGCCCAGGTGTCTTCAAATCGACCACCCTGCCCTGCCAATGGATGCCGAGCTCAGACAAGCCCACCCCTCCTGCAATCCCATTGGCAGAAAGGAGAGCAACCACATTACCTAAAAGCCTGTGCTTTAGCCACACATACACATCACTCTCTTTCCCTGGCTCAGGGAGAGAGGGCTTGGTGCGCATATGTGGCTTGATGCATGTGGTTCTGGGTAATGTAGTTTTTAAGGAGGGTGATAATAACATTACTAAATAGGGAGTTTGGGGGTTGTTGCAAATGGGAGTGTCCCTGACATGCCAGGAGGCTTGGTCAGTCTGAGCCCTAGTCTACATTACAGAGTTAGCTCGACGCAAAACAGCTTATGTCGACTTAACTACATAAGCAGCTACACTAAAATTTTGCTTCCGCTGATGTAACTCGCCCACTACACCGACTTAATAACGCCACCTCCGCGAGATGCGCTGAGACACAGCCAATGTAGCTAGGTCAAAGCAGAGTCAGTGTAGACACTGCACTGCTCACATCAAGTGTTGCTGGCTTTCCAAAGCTGACCCACAATGCCCGACACTGACAGGTCAATCGGTGCAAGCGCTCCTGGTAAGGACATGCCCCATCGACACAAGGAGCAAAATGCAGACGTGCAGAAGTGATGTAATTACTTCGGGTTTCAGAGTAGCAGCCGTGTTAGTCTGTATTCGTGTTAGTGATGCCTCCGATGAAGTGAGCTGTAGCTCATGAAAGGTCATGCTCAAATAAATTGGTTAGTCTCTAAGGTGCCACAAGTGCTCCTTTTCTTTTTGTAATTACTTTGGCGGCTGTACGCCAATGTAAATTAGGTCGCCTTAATTGTGTAGTGTAGACATGCTCTGAGAGAAGGTGCCCTGTTAATGTGCTGTTCGTAGGAGGCATTTGGATCCATGAATAATCTTGGCAAACTTTCCAACAGTGATTGTCATTCTAACTCTCTCCATCACTCACCTCTCAGTCCATGTCCTTTTCTTCTTTAGTCCCTAGTCCGCCCATATCCATGTTCTCAGAAAACCATATTCATGTCCTATCAAAGCTAGGGGTTATTTCTTTGGGTGTTCATGGGTTTGACCCTACAGGCATTTAAGGATGCAACTTTACAAACCAGAGCAGGGACTTCAGGGTCAAGGCCCTGGACTAGCATTATTTATATTCATTTTTCCCTATTTTATCTTTCAAGGGCTTGCACTTTGCACGCGGGGCGTTGCACGGGCCCTTGTACTTTGCACCCGGGGCTGACATTTACCCTTGCGCTTTGCACACGGACGTTGCACGTCACTGCCCTGGGCACATGGCGTGGCCCCAGGCGTGTGCTTTGCACACGGAATAAGGCTCGGGGGCTGCACGCTGGGATCGCACTTTGCACGCGCATTGCTGCAGGGGGCCCCCTTCTTGGTACGTGCACGTGGCCCCTGCGCACGCGCAAGGCTCCAGGCCGCCACGCGCTCCCACGCCGCTTTCCCGCGTCGGCCCCGCCACGGAAGTGACGGAATGGGGCCGAGCCATGAGCAGGATGTGACGTTTTATCCGCTGGCCGCACGAGCCGCGGCAGCCTCGCCCCGAGCACGCGGAGCAGCCATGGCGCCGGGCGGGCAGGCGGGCGGCAGCGGCGGCCCCGGGTCCCCCCGCGAGGGGCTGCGGGACTGGGTCCGGAGCGCCTGCCGCTTCGCCGCCGACAGGAGCGACTTCCGCAGGTGCCCCCTGGCCGGGCCCCCGGGCTGAGCGCGCTGCTGTGGGGTGAGGGGGGCCGGGGTCCCCCCGGGAGCCGTGACAGCGCCCCCCGACGGGGAGACGGGGGGGGGTCTCCCCCCGGGAGCCGTGACAGCGCCCCCCGACGGGGAGACGGGGGGGTCCCCCCGGGAGCCGTGACAGCGCCCCCCGACGGGGAGACGGGGGGGGGTCCTCCCCCGGGAGCCGTGACAGCGCCCCCCGACGGGGAGACGGGGGGTCCCCCCCCGGGAGCCGTGACAGCGCCCCCCGACGGGGAGAAGGGGGGGTCCCCCCCGGGAGCCGTGACAGCGCCCCCCGACGGGGAGACGGGGGGGGGGTCCCCCCCGGGAGCCGTGACAGCGCCCCCGACGGGGAGACGGGGGTCCCCCCCGGGAGCCGTGACAGCGCCCCCGACGGGGAGACGGAGGTTCCCCCCCCGGGAGCCGTGACAGCGCCCCCCGACGGGGAGACGGGGGTCCCCCCCCGGGAGCCGTGACAGCGCCCCCGACGGGGAGACGGAGGTTCCCCCCGGGAGCGTGACAGCCCCCGACGGGGAGACGGGGGGTCCCCCCGGGAGCCGTGACAGCGCCCCCGACGGGGAGGTTCCCCCCGGGAGCGTGACAGCGCCCCCGACGGGGAGACGGGGGTCCCCCCGGGAGCCGTGACAGCGCCCCGACGGGGAGGGGGGGGTCCCCCGGGAGCCGTGACAGCGCCCCCGACGGGGAGGTTCCCCCCGGGAGCGTGACAGCGCCCCGACGGGGAGACGGGGGGTCCCCCCCGGGAGCCGTGACAGCGCCCCCGACGGGGAGACGGGGAGGTCCCCCCCCGGGAGCCGTGACAGCGCCCCCGACGGGGAGACGGGGAGGTCCCCCCCGGGAGCCGTGACAGCGCCCCGACGGGGAGGTTCCCCCCCGGGAGCCGTGACAGCGCCCCCGACGGGGAGAAGGGGGGGTCCCCCCCGGGAGCCGTGACAGCGCCCCCCGACGGGGAGACGGGGGGGGGGTTCCCCCCGGGAGCCGTGACAGCGCCCCCCGACGGGGAGACGGGGGGGTTCCCCCCGGGAGCCGTGACAGCGCCCCCCGACGGGGAGACGGGGGGGGTCCCCCCCGGGAGCCGTGACAGCGCCCCCCGGCGGGGAGACGGGGGGTCCCCCCCCGGGAGCCGTGACAGCGCCCCCCGACGGGGAGACGGGGGGGGGGTTCCCCCCGGGAGCCGTGACAGCGCCCCCCGACGGGCTGTGACCTCAGTGTGGGGACAAGCTGCTCTTCCCATGCCCTTGCAGGATCTGAGCTGTGGGCCTGTGGCTCCCCCCCAGGAGTCAGGCCTGGTTCCATGGCACTTATTGGAGCTGAGAGAGGGGGGAGGCTCTACATGTGCCTGGAACCTACCTTGCTCACTGAGGCTGTGGCCCCCAGAGCCCAGGAAGCGCGCACAGGCCTTTAAGCCATGACCGGGGTGGGTCACTGCAAGGGGTGGTGGCAGAGTTGGGTCAGGACATGGTGAAGACAAGTTAAAGGGAAACATTGCATTCAGTGAAAAATGCCGTTGAGGAAACAGAATCTGGAGCAGTGCTGTGTCTGCCCCATTGTTTTCAGCAGGGCTAGGTCCCTAAGTGACACACTGAGAGGTGTGAGATTGTAAGGAGAAGGAGTTGTCTGGTAGCCAGAACTGGGGCCTGGCAGTCAGAGTTCCCTGGGTTCTGTTCCCCTCCAGCTGGGAGGAGGAAGACTGTGGTGTTGCAGCTAGACCAGGGAATGGGGCATCAGGAGTCCTGCAATCTATTTGTGGCTTTGTTACTGACTTGCCCTGTGACCTTGGACCAAGTGACAGCCTTCCTGGGGCTCTACTTCCACATCTGTAAAAGGGAGGAGGAGAACCTTTCCTATCTAGTAAGGAGGTTGAGGATGTATGTTTATTGCCTTTCAAATTTAAAGCGCTTAATACAATTGTTATTCAGAGTAAGAGTTTGGTACTTTAGGGTAAAGATCCCAGACATGTGAGGCAGGTAACATTTATCCTTTTACACAACATAAGTCAAGAATAATTCACAGGGCATCTCTAATAATTTTAAGCCTCTGTTGAAGAGAATACACTCCTGAAATAATTAAAAAAAAAAATCAAATTAGAAACAATTAAATCCTGTTCTCTGCATTTGCCTTTTTTCTGTTACCAAGATCTCTGGTATGTGAAAAACCTGACATTTGCTTGAGTTCATCTGATCCTGCTGCTTATTCCCTACCTGAAGTCATAATTCTGCTTGCCATAATTGTGGCAGCAGCTAGTTACCATAGGAGGGGGAATAAGCAGCAGGAGAAAATTATTTCTTAAGACAAACATCCTGTTTTCATGGAAATCTCCCTAATATAGGATGAAGCAGGGGAAATACAGAATATAGATGGGAGTAGAATGGCTTCTAAACAGCAGGCCCTGCCTGAGGAGGCAGCAAAAAAGGGGAAACCCCCACCCACATCTAACATTGTTGCTTCTTCCAGCTATAGCATAGCTTGGCAATGACACTTAATATGTTTGTTTTTAAAGCCATCAGTGCTGGAGGTCTTGCTCTGTACATTTACAGTTGGTATTCTAGGTAGGAAATACTTTAATGTAGGCCAGACAACACCAGTTGCTTCAACAAATCTAACTTACTATGTATTTGTTTCAGAAACCTCATAGTTAACCTGGGGCTTTTTGCTGCCGGAGTCTGGGTAGCCCGAAACTTGACAGACATTGATTTGATGGCTCCTCAACCAGTTGCATAGCAGTACTAGTGAGTACCTGACATTGTGAAGGTGTGGAAATACCGTTGTTGTTTGAATAATGAGAGGAAACAAACTAATCAGGATAATCAACGGTTTGGATAAAGGAGCAGCAATAGATATGGGAAATTCTGGAGCTTTTGCATGACACAGGATTAAAAGACCGCAGTGCATGATTTTCTACAGAGGAAGACTGCTGCAGTCAAGTTGTAGGAACTGCACTTCTGGCTAATAGGGGCTCCACTGTCTGGAGCTATCAAACTTCAATATTAAAGTCTGTTTTGTGGAGGAGGAGTGTGCAAGCTAGAACTGGACTACGGGGCTGCGCAAGAGACTTCTTTAAAGTTCCAGGGCCTATGTCTCAGTTTCAAAGACTTGCATAAATCTATGTCCACTTCCTTTGTAGGAGTCTCCCCTCCACTGCTTTATACTACCCCTTAGAGTTGTCAACAGCCTTCTACTTCCTGTGGATTGAGCTCCTCCCCCTCCTTTTTTCACACCTATTTTAGTGAAGCTGTACTAGTGTGATTTGCTCATTACTACATCCTTTTTTGCCAAGGCCTCAGGGTAAGGATGTTGTTTTGTAAACGGCCACTTACTGTGCAATCTGTGTTATGCCTTCTCCAAATATGTTGCGTATCTAAGACATTCTGATTAATGTAATGTACGGCACAGTCTCAACCTAGCCTCATGGTCAGTAATGGATATTCCAACCCAGCTGATTTTTAAGGTTACCTTAGGCTCCGAAATGCCCTTCAAATGGGCAGCAAAATTCAAATTACATAGATTTTTCCTTGATCCACATAATTATATAATCAGGTGAACATGCAAAAAGGTAGGCCCTGTAAAACTATAGGTATTTATATTGTGCCCTAAAATACAGTGTTCAGATACAAGACTGAACACCACCCATGCATTTAACCATCAACGGTAAGGTGTTTCACAACTCAAAGTGGTATTCTAGGGGAAACATGATTACCTTAGTGACTTCTCACCCAATGTCATTTTGTTACACTAGACCAGACACTTGGCTCTCTAACCCATCCTTTGTCTGATCTTTAATTGCAGATGTGAATAAAATGTACCTGCATCAAGTCTGAAGAGCTTCTAATCTCAGTGTGACAGGATGACCAAAATGATGATCAGAAGAGCTGTGTGGTGTTTGTTGCTTTTGTTCTAGGTAACTGAAAGTTCAGCAGCAGCTCTAAAATTGTATTTTAATTCAAGCATAGCTATCATTCCACAATGAACAGTGATAAGTGAGGAGAAGCCATTTAACGCTTGATGTTTGTTGTATATTCAGTTCACCCCACTGAGCTCAATGTCTATTAAAGTAATCAGTTATATTTTCAAGACTTGTGAAGCTGTTGCATATTGAGTTTAATTCTGTACCATGTCTAGAAGCTTCTTATTAAATTATAAAATGTGTGAAATAATGACATTCTATTGCACTGGAATTTTATTCTTTTAATAGGAAACTTCATCTTACAAAACAAGGTGTAAAAAAGAGTAAAGATTTACAAAAATCATAAAAACATGATTCATATTTCACACCCAAAAGAGAAAGGAACAAGTCCTAATCCTGTGTTGTAAGCAGGACTTGTCAGCTATTTATTCAAAGGGAAAACAACATTTTTAAAAGCCCTAAGTAAACTCTAACCACCAGAAATGTACACGGATAAATGTTCAGACAGGATAAAGCTGGTGCATTTCTTTATCTTAGAGGAATTATGATTGTATGTTATACTTGGGGAAGAAGCTGTTTGGTGTTGCATAGCATTTTAGTGCCTTGGACTGGTTCTGCTAGTTGCCACCATTAAGTTGTTGTTGGAATCCAGCTGATCTTGGTGAGGCTATTCCATGGGAGGTGAAAGTGATGATATGGAGAACAGGCTCAGAAGCACTGCTCCTTTCTAGCTTTAATCATGTGCATTGTCATGCTATAGCTACACAAACAGTAGCACATGTTCCAGCCCTGAGCATTATGCAGCACCACTGCAGCATGGCTTCAGATCCTTTGGAATTTTATGCATGAGTTCATCTATTACTGTGTTAAGAGGAGTCCTACACAGCACAGCCAACAGATTCAGGTGTCTGTTTTTTGGTGGGGTGTAGTGAGGGCCCTTCAGAGCAGATGGAGGAAATAAGTCAATTTCAGCTTTATCTAGTAAGTTAATTGGAAATAATCTCCGCCTAAATTTTCAGAACAAGTATTTCAGTATTCAGCAAAGGATGCTCATTATGAACTTAAGTCTCACTAAACAGGAGACGTGTCCTCTTCCAACAAAAATTAAAAAGGGAAGAATATTGGATAGATTTAAACTTGATTCCTAAAGGTTTTTGACTTAACATCCTAACTTCTTCCTAGAACTTGGGTTCAGACAGGAGCCAGGTTATGCAGCTGTAGGCACACAATTCTGTCATGGTGAGTTACTGGATGTTGACTGAAATAGAGCTCGTTTAACTTCCATAAGATTAGGAGCAGTCCTTCACCAATACATCTATGCACTGAAATGGCCAGCAATTAGTTAGATTCCTAGCTATCATCTATGAAAGTCCTTGCAGCTAAGACAGCCTTGTTAATTACCAGAGCATGGTGTGTATCAGCTTAGGTAATTATTGATCAGGTAGCAGAAGCCTCTAGTACAGCTACACATAGCTTTGACTTAAAGCCCCCCACAAAAGTCACTGAAAAGCCAATGTCTGGCCAAGTTATTTTTTTTCCCTTCACACTTTGGGTTTGTCGCTCAAAAAAGCAAAAGAAACATCCATCCTTCATTTGTGCTTTCAAGAGAATGTTTAATGTTAAAACTGTTCTTTCCAGCCTTGGCAAATATTTAAAGAACAGCAGTCTTCCAAGGATCACCAAGCAAAGTGTTACTTTATAATGGGATTTTAAAAAGTACTTGGCCCTGGTTTAACTGCTCCTATTGAAGTCAATGGTGTAATTCCTATTGATTTAATGGGAGAAGAATTAGGCCAATCCAAGGGCTCTTCAAAATCCCAAACTTAATCACTATTCCATAAAGAAGCTTGGGAATCCATGATCAGAACTTGTAAATTAAGTTTACAATCTGGATCTAGACTGTTCTCAGTGGTAGCAGATGACAGAACAAGGAGTAATAGTCTCAAGTTGCAGTGGGGGAGGTTTAGGTCAGATTTTAGGAAAAACTTTTTCACTAGGAGGGTAGTGAAGCACTGGAATGCATTACCTAGGGAGGTGGTAGAAGCTTCTTCTTTTGAGATTTTTAAGGCCCGGCTTGACAAAACCCTGGCTGGGATGATTTAGTTGGGAATTGGCCCTGCTTTGAGCAGGGGGTTAGACTAGATGACCTCCTGAGGTCCCTTCCAACCCTGATATTCTATGAAGTTTATCTGTTATGTGAACATTTGTTTAAATCGGATTTTAAAACATTAAAAAGGGGAAGACTCTTGGAAAAACATTGAGGGGGATTTTATTTCAGGCAAACAACTTAGCTAACTTTTATAACTTTTTTCCTCTCATATGAACTCTCTCTTTAATGGACACTAATAGTTATGGCATTGAGTAAGTTTCCCCCTTAATTTGTAAATGCTTATTTAAAGCTAAGTTAAAATGGATCAGTTCTACTTCACACCATGGGCTCCTCATGGTGCCAGTATCAAGGTCACTTCTGATTGGCAGCAGCCAGCAAGGGGCCCCTCAAACACTTACTCAAAGTTGAGTTTTCACATATTTGTGTGGTTTATTTGAGGCAGGGGGAAATCTGTACCTATGTGAATTTTAATTGTTAGGCCAAATGGTACTGTCAAGTGGTAAGGGCTTTCTAATACGATTAGGCAGGAGCGTATACAGTTGTAGCCTTGCCAGATCAGGAGTACTGAGTTAGACAGACTAAAGGTAGCATTACTTATCCAATCAGAAAGGTGCCAAGGTGTAGCTAGGCAACTGTTTAAATTAAGGGACAGATTCTAGACTAGAGCAGGAAAAGCTGGCAGAAAAAGTCATTCACTTAAGGCTCTAGCTTGTCTCTTTTGATAGATACATTGTTAGGCCTTGTCTACACACAAGAGTTGTAGTGGTTTAACAATACTGGTATAGCTAAAGTGATACAATCCCCCCCACTCTCCAGTGTGGCTGCTGTTATACGTGTATCCCACTGCAGCTTATTCCACAAATGAGAAGGGGAATAAGCCATACTGGTTTAAGCACTTTTCACCCAGCCACACGTAGGACATCGTATCACTTTAGTTATTGGTTTAAAAGAACCAAACTACACAACCCTAACTAAAAGTTATGCTGATAGAAAATGTGTGCAGACCAGACCTATTAATGTGCAACACACAGTACACTTCAAAAAATTACACTCCCAGAGCATGCATTACCCTACCATGTAGACAGGCTCTTAGATTGAGACTCTAATTACAAGTGCACTAAATGCTGTTCCATCTCAGGCCCTAGATGTTCTTTCTGCTCATCAAGCAAAAAGCCAGCATCAGAAAGTTCTCTACAGAGTTTAATTTTAACATGAAAAGAGTTCAGTTTCTCTCTCATATCTAAGGCAATAGTTTTCTACCCTGAAATGCTTAACCATAATTTTTTAATATTAAATCAAAGTACAAGCTATTAGTTGTCTATTCATTCCTTTTTTACCTCCAAGTGACCATTGTGGGGTTTAAGCAGGTGACCTCCTTTATATTTTTCTTTAAATCTCCAGAGAAGTGAGTGGATAGTTTCTGAGAAGGAACAGTTTTCCATTAAACTTATACTTTTTGTAGAATGAATGGTTAAGTGGCAGGCCCTCAAGGGTTAGGATTTTGCTGCTGATCAGATTCCATTCTTTGATTTTATGCCCTTTGCTGTCGCCACCACCCGCACACAAAAGCATTCACTGCTGGATCCTCTGGTGATTAAACTCTTCCTGCCTCATCTACATATACTCCAAAACGTTTTACAGTGGTCACTTCAGCTTTGTCAGTGGGTTGTTTTTTTAACTCCTTCCCTTTCCCGAACTCCAACCTGAACAGAATTCAGTAAAAGAACTGTTCATGCAGAAGCTTCAAACAATAAATAGTTAACAGTGGTTAAAGTCAGTCTCGGGCCCATTGGGCTGGTCATTTTTTTTTTTCCTTTTGGAAATGCAAGTTGAAAACATTTTTAAGAAGACTTGTTCCAGTTTAAAAGTTCCTTTTGAAAGCATTTTGGCCAACCATACAAATTATTCTTAGAACAACTGGAACTCATACATACACACAAAATGAAATAAGCACAATGGAAGGAATGGCCCAAGGCATACCCTAAAATTAACTAAGACAACTAATTACAAATTGGTACAGGTAACTAACAAATGCAGTTTTTGATCATGAAACCTGTGCTGTGGTTTTATAAATTTAAAAACTTGCAAGAATGCTTCACATTCCCACTTGTAAATACATGGATATCAATATTGATGTAATAGAAACCAAAAACCCTCCCAGTTTAGGTTTTATATTCCCACAGGCAAGAAATTCCTACTCAACTCCTTCCTCCCTGGCTAATCTCAAACCAGGTGCAGAGATTAGACACAAAAGAAGGCAGCATTCAGAGCAGGAGTTGGGATTTTACCATCTACAGTTTAAGGAGAGATATTTAGCCACCTTAAACAACCATGCATCTTGCATATGAAACTGCAGTATTGTGGGATTGTTTACTACACTGCTAACTGGTAAATCTGTGCAAATAGTACCATGTCAAAGGTAACTCTCTCTCTCCCCCCTCCCTCCCCTTCTTAAGTGTCCAATCATCAGTCAATATGTTTAAATCAGAAAGGCCTTTCCAAAACTCCTACTACTCTACCAAAATGCTGCAAAAGTGGAGATTTTATCCCTCATATAACACAGGTCTTATTATAAATAAGGTTCTTGTTTTGAGAGGCGTAACCCTACTGACCTGATTGGAAGTGGTCTGAGTAACATAGAAAGAAAATAAAAACAAACAAACAAACATGTTCTGCCTTTGAACAAGTAGTCATTTGAGTTATTACAAACACAGAGATTTCAGACATGTACACCAAAATATATCAAGTTCTGAACTTGCTGGTAAGACTGTTTTTCTTCATTCACATACAGATATGAAATGTAAAAATGTCAATGACACTGAAAAGTACTTGTAAAAAACATACAGATTTGTCTGCCACTTGAATGATGAGAGGGGAAATTCTTTTAAAACTCCCAACTTTTCGGTCCCATGCAAAATGTAATTGGATACAAGGCACCAAATTTAATGAATCATATAAAAATTAGTTCACAAAGCTTTATCAGTAGGTAAAACTAACCCTTTTCCCAGTCTTCCATTCCTGCCCCCCCCCCCTTTTTTTTTTTTCAAATTTTTCTGTCTGTAATACTGTTGACCTCTCCCATTTTATGCTGGGGTATTTTGATGGCAGCCAACACCCACTTGCT